CAACCAATTCCTAAAATGCTCGAATATTTACATCTATTTTGACTAACTGTATCATGTTTAAAAAAATTGGATCTTATTACATACAAGCGTAGCTAAAAAAAATCGATTTTGCTTTAATTGTAATCAAACAATAAAGTAGGTAAAGTCAAGTGTGGGAGGGCCAAGCTTTAGCACGAATGGGTCTGCTCGATCGGAGTGATACCATGGCCTCTCAGAAAACCGTTCTGAAACAACCATAATCACCACAAACACCGAAGGCCCAATCCCTCCCCCTCCCCTATCCTTTCCCAATCCTTAAATATCCGCAACTCTTATCCTCAAAAGGCCGGCAACGCACTTGTAACTTGGTGTTGTGGCAGTCCATGGGCGGCGCCACAGCTCAATTGCCGGCTTATCCCATAAAAAAAACACTCATTGATAGCATTTGACCGCACATTTCTAGTGTTGCAGTTTTCGCGACGCATGCGCCGCTCCGCGTGCTCTTATTTATAGTAAACTTTACGAAAACTAAATAAAGAAAATGTTGATTAACTAGACGAAAAACAGACCTTCTATCACCCTCAGAATTCGATTTATCATCGATACCTTAAATAAGAATAACTTGCGACGCGCAATAGCTACTCTGCTTGCGCCTGCGCAGCGAGGATGTTATTTATAGAGATGGGATCGAAGGCAGTACTGCAGGGATGCAGTATAAACTGTACCTACCACCATGGAGACATGAATTTAAATACTCATCCAACCTGATCAGCACCAAGTAGGTAGGCATTTGTAGTAGCTTTTACTCATCCGCAGTTTGATTCTATGAAGCGTCAGAGCTCGAGTTTCTGATTAAGGAATTCAGAAACTACAATATTCGTAGTGTTTTGTTATTTATTCAATATAGCATACAATCTTCGGTAGTTTAAAACAAGCTTTTAGTCCTTTTTAGTTTACGTTGCTCTTTTAATTTTACCACAAGCTACAAGGGTAATAATATATATATATAAGTAGGTAGACTGGGTGTTAAAATACTGAAAATTACGCCTTTGTGTATAATACTTGTGAGTTTTTTATTCTTCATCAGTCTTTAAGTTCACTCTGTTGAGCAAAGGCCATTTCTCACACGGAGAAGGTTTGTGCATTAACCACCATGCTTGTTCAAGGCGAATTGGCGATATCAAATTTATAATTACAAATTGTAAGTTCAGGTTTTTTCACGATGTTTTCCTTTACCCAGTAAATTCCTTTATCTAGTGATGTCTAAATAATCATAAAATGAGCATATAACTCGGAAAAAGTCATATTGGTACTTGCCAGGTTTTGCCGCATTCATCAGAAGCACGTGCTTTGACAATGTTAGATATATTTTTAATGTAATTTAAGTACCTACAGCGGCATCGACTTAGTGCACGAGAAAGAACGGGATGGAAGTCAGTATGAATCTAAAAACACTTCTATGTTTTATCTAAGCGTTAATAGTTTTTTTTTTCACTTTAATAGGCATTTAATTGTAATGTGAACGTTGTCCGAGACAAAGCGAAATAGATACTCTGAAATAAATTGAAAAAAAGCTTGACAAAGACGCGTCGCTGTTAAAATAAAACAAAAATAATCGAAAAATTGTAGACAGACAGACACGTTACTTGTTTTCAAACGTAAAGGTACAAAGCTTTTATAAAATTCTCTTTATGGGACACAATAGAAAATGTCTTTTTTGTTGAGTTAAACACTTGTAAAAGGGTTGTATTCACGTATGAAATCACGCCTCTCGAAGCTTTTCAGAAGTGTTATTTTGAAACGAAAACAACAGCAACGATGTTCCGTAAACGCATCGTTCCTGTACAAAGAGAAGCGGCGGAATCTGCCGGTGAAATAAGCAACAATGCAACAGCTCAGGGAGTTCAAGTGAATTTTCCACTCACCTGTCCCGAGTGCCCATTTACAAGCCTATAACGTGTTAATAATGTAAGCAGCTTATTCGATATGTGAAAGTTTTGTTTTGCAGAAATATTCTCTGTTTGTGATAAATTTTCCTGTAAAGCTCTCTCTACCTAAGAGAGGCTTAATTAGGTATATCTCAACAGTGTTTGTAAAGTTGCAGGCTCATTGTTTCTGATTGAGCGAGTGGAAGGCGAAGCGTTAATCCAGTTAGTATTCATTATTAAATTCCATTACTTTCTGTCCTTTATTAAAGTATTTTGTTTCGAATTAAATGGACTTTGAAGCTTTGGAAAAGTGATGCGATGTCTACAATACTTGTGCTGAACTCATTCATTATTTCTATTGTCTTTTTATTGATATTGTAAGTGTGGGAGAGCCAAGCTTCCGCACGAATAGGTCGGCTCGACCGGAGTGATACCACAGCCTCACAGAATACTGGCGTGAAACAACCACAGTGTTGTGTTTCGCCGTGTGAGGTTACCGGCCCCGGTTACCTCCCCCTCCCCTATCCCTTCCCGATCTTTATATCTGCAACCCCTATCCCCAAAAGGCCGGCAACGCACTCGTAACTCCTTTGGTGGTGCGGGCGGCGCCGATTGCTTACCATCAGGTAATCCGTCTGCCAGTTTGCCGACTTATAGCACAAAAATAATTGACTTTGGTAGTTTGAAAGGAAGTGCCAGGCTCCTAGTGACTACATATCACCCCTTACTACTCCTACTCCAAGGCGGACCTTCCTATATAATTCCGCTTACACCCGCAACTCTAGATTTACGTACTTGGGCCTTTCTTTTATAACTAGATTAATATTATTTCTACAACGAAGCTCTCGTTTTGTCGCTCTATTTCTGTGCGTTTTCAGTAATGAGATGAGCTTATTGGACACGCCCGCCTACCGGCGCGGTGTTACCTAAACGAAATCTTGATTTCATTCTATTCCTTATTTCTATTTCTGTCCCAAACCATACTCGTTCCATATTTCATTATTATTTTTACTTTGAACCTTTTCTTACTGAAAATTGTTACGTACACGTCCGTCGGAAACCGAATTAAATGTATTCAAACTAGATACATGACACATCAAGTTTAAATAACTGAATATATATGATATTCATGTTTAGTAAGATATACCTACTAATGTTTTTGGAAATCGGTCAAGTGTAGAACATAGACACGATGACGCCAAGACCAGGGAACCGAGGACGGCAGTAAGTGCAGGAGTACTCACGGATCTTAATATCTATATTTTATTTTATTTCAACTTTATTACATGTATAGAAGGCATATTTCATGTATTAGATTTTTTTTTTAATATAATAGGTCGGCAAACGAGCAGACGGATAACCTGATGGTAAGCAATCATCGCCGCCCATGGACACCCGCAACGGAGGAGTTACGAGTGCGTTGCCGACCTTTTAGGGATTAGGGATTTGGAGATTTAGGAACTGGGGAGGGATTAGGGAAGGGGAAGGATTGGGCCTCCGGTAACCTCACTCACACGGCGAAACACAACACTGTGGTTGTTTCACGCCGGTTTTCTGTGAGGCCGTGGTATCACTCCGGTCGAACCGACCCATTCGTGCCGAAGCATGGCTCTCCCACACTTATTTCTTTTCTTTTCTTAGATTCCTATCTAAGTACCTATATTGGTTTAATATTTTATTTTATTTTCAACTTTATTGCAACATGCGTATAAGGCATATTTCATGTAGTTAGTTGGTTTTTATTACAGAATGAGATTGGAATAGCCATTGCGAGAGTGAGGGATAACCGGGTGCTAACCATGACGATCAAAGTAAGATTGTTGTAATCTTTCTTTAGTGTGGGTAAGAGAAAGAGCTATACAAGTTGTCTAGCTGTTTCCGAAAGGCCGATAAATATTAAAATCAATTTAATCTCTTGTCAACTTATCTGATTGGTTGACTGAATTATCAACAACCAATCAGATGACTTGACAAGAGATTTAACAGGAGATTAGTTAATTTTAGCGTTGACAAGCTTTTCAGAAACCGGGTGTAAAACAGTCGTACTTTGAATGTCATGGTTACCCACCCCCCACTACTACTGATACTATCTTTGTCTGTTCTGTGATTAGGTTTCTGGAGAGTCTTATGAAGATGGTCGTCAAATATTTAACATTTTCATTTGCAGTGATTGGGCAACCGGTGACTGCACGACAGTTTTAATTAATGCACGGAACAATTATTTTCGTGACTCACAAATAATTAACCGACCTCTTACATTCACGACACAGGAGAAAACACTAGTATTAGAACTCGTTTAAAATTTTAATCAAACACGAATTATTATAAATTTTTTGAACAGATGAAAATGTGTAATTAGTTGTTTTACCAATGGTAATTATTTAATACGAGTATATAAATGATTTAATCAATACAAAGTACATTTACACCTTAGCCTTTATCATTTGGAACAAATACGCAATTAATTTCATTTTAATTTAAGATGATTTTTTTGCTTAAGTTTCATCGTTGACTATCACTAGTCTAGTTTGTGGTATTAGGGTGTCAGTTGACCGCGTGCAACACGAGTAGGTACTGCTTTTGTTAGTATTAAGTAAGTTACCTAAACTTCAAAACCTGACCGGGAATAATCTTTGTACTTATTAAGATTTAAGTACTAGGATACTTTCTAATCAACGGTACCAGCATTATTTTCTTCAAATAAATAATAAATGGGTTCTTATATATTTTGCAATGAAGATAATAATAAAGGAACTAATTACAGACCTCTAATTTGATAGTATTCTGTTGCTCTAAGAAACGTAAGTACACAGTGACTAATGTACCTACCGCTTGTGATTCAATCGCTTGTAAGCTTGTATTGAGTGTGACCCTAACATCGGCGAGCTAGGAGCAGTGGAGCTTAGCTATTGCTATCATAACAAGTGTGAGTACATGACTGTTATTTATGTTATGACTGTAAAACCACACCATACCGAATTCAAAAAAACTCTCACTGCTCCGTTTAGCGGTGCGGTGCGCGGGCGCCGGCAGCGTCCACTTATTCCGGAGGCACAAGCAGTCAAGCTCGAGAAAGCTCAGTGCGCGGGTCGTATCGAGGGCCGGCGGACGCGAGCCGACGACAGCCGAAGCACGCCGGACATGATTGGAATATGGACGTGTGGAGCGGCCGACCCGCGTTGTGCGTGCGCGCATCGCCGCCCCTCGCCATAGAGACAGGCGAAAATTTCGCACTCACGTTCTTCGAAAGCAAAGAGCAAGCGCCGCCGCCGCTGCCGAAACAAGGTGTGTTATGTTTATACATGTTATCACTGCTGCATGCGTAAGCGCCGACAGCACGTCACACTTGTTATGCGAATGTTACCACACAGCGCTCGGTACTGCATTACTGCTGTCGTCTTTCGGGTCCATGTCGGGTGGTCCAGTAGGTGTCCACTGCGTGGAGTGTGTGGACACACGACTGTTACCGACAATGACAAGAACCTTATTTACATTGACATTTTAGCTTGACGAGTCAGCTGTACTCAATGCCCCGAAGCTGTCAAGCATCTGAACACGTTATTTCAAGTAGTCTGCGGGCACTTATTGTTGATTTAATCAACCAATTTTTTGCCAAATTTTGGGTTGCCTTTTAAACGAATTCAGTGCTTTTGATCTTGACTGTATTGACGTTCATAAAACTGTTTTGATATTCAGCCTGCTCTCGAGATTATGGTAATTGTCGGCAATGCATATGTAAGTGAAGGAGGGACGGCCGTGCGGCCGAGCCGTGGCTGTGACAATATGCTCCAGCACCGTATCGAGTAACGGTGCTTGGGAACGTGTTCCGAGGATGATGATGATTACATCATCTCCGATATCAACATCATTAACTAATCAATAAAACATTTCTTTATTTTATTTACAATAATCTTACCTTGTTTATATAAATACAAGTAAAAGGTTGCTGCTACTATTATTTAATCGAAATAGCATTACTGTATATGATATTGCCCAAGTAAAACCTAAACTGTAATTAATAATGTTTTGGTCAGTAATATGAACAATTAGTATAATAACTACATTTTAATTAAGCGAACATTTTACTTGATTATGTTGGTTTAGTCGTCAGTTGTCTTCTGGTTATATTACAGAATATCTTTATAGTTGGCTACGTAATTGCATTGAGCTATAATATAACAGTTTATTTATTAAAACAAAGTTAGTACACGAAGTTGTGGCGAAAATTATCTTCGAGCGCCCCGTGCCTCTACCGTTAGGTATGTATGACCGATGTATTACTACAATTCTATTTTACGGGACTTCCAACTAATTTCGCATACATTGCTCCTTCGCAAATAAAGCGTTCGATTAATTCGCCTGTGTACAGACCGGTGGAAATGTGACCGTTCCAAAGATCGCTCTCGACGCTCACAGATTGAAAACACGGTGAAAGCGACGTCGAGGTGTTTTGTAATGTTTGAGGAAATGTAATGAATATTTTATTGTTTTTATAAGTAACTGACTAATATTAAGACTCTATTACACAATTTTACTGAACTATTATAACTGATTATAATTACATACAGGACAACAATGACTTCGAAATAAAAGCTGGCTATCTGTTTAATTAACAGAGCTTAGACACTTAATTCAAACGTGGGTCGACAAGTACGTTTATGAAGCGGTTTTTGAAAAAAGCATTGCAATGAAGAATTGAAGACACGCGACGTCGAGCGTGAGAACTTATGAAAAATCTTGGTTTGTTTACATCGTTATTAAATGAAGAGCAAAAATTTAAATTGTTTAGACTACTCGTCTATCGAGCAAAGGACTTAGGAAGTATACCGCATCACACAAATTTTGATTATAGAAGAAGTTCTATAATCAAAAGAACTTCAATTATTATAATATTTACGCTTCCTTTAGGTTGTGATCTTTATCTACTTGTTGTTGTATGTCTGTTCGTTTGTGTGCAATGTTGTAGCGACAGGCTGGAGCGGTTGCGCTGCATTTATAGAAAAGCATTCGTTTCTTACTCGGAAGTTATTGCAAATATGTGCAAAGGCTAGCTCAGACGCCGCTGACGAACTATCTGCTATCTTACAAGACTCAATATTAATATTATACACATGTCTTACTTTCCTCTCACGTTACATATTATAGGTAAAACTTAAATATAAAATATTCTTACACGTGTCAAACATTTTTGAATGACTTGTGTATGAGACACATAAGTAGGTAGGTATGCTAATCTAACTTTTGAACGACATTGATTGTCTGAATGATTATCAAGACTTATCATTACCTACATTAAATAATGATTATGATTCCATTATTTATTATTTATCACTTTAACATAAAAAATAATAAACGGGAGACTGATACTTTTGGATTGACATGACAAAAAAGATATCGTTTTCGTTCACCTAGATACAAGAAAAATGGACGAAATTATGTAGTCACACGCACGTCCGCGTCTGATGTTTGATGTATGACATGTTAAGCTGTCAGCTGACGTCTTGAACTTGATCTATTTGTCACGCGACAAGAAGTCTCGTCTGAGGCGACCTTAACCTATCGTGACGATATGGAGGGACAGCTCCGCGAGACGCGAGGGGGGGAGACAAGTACCCGCGTACTGCGCTGCCGGTCAACGACCGCTGGCGTTATGCAATACACTGATAAAAACATCCGTGAGGCTGCACATCGCACTGGCCAGTTGCTTAGCAACCCGTAGCTGTCTAGGCGTAGGCTCGGACCGTCCACGCACGGTGCTTCACTTAAATTGACGCATTTTCAATCTCATGATGCTGTTAAGTGCAAGGCTCCGTCTTCTAGCCATAGGTTGACGTCGCTTGATTCATATCTAAATGAATAATTCAACTGAATAGGCAATTTTTATCAATATAATTTTTTTTTGAGTTCGTCATGTCCTATTGTATATACATTAACTTATATTTTACTTTGTTCATCATATAACACACATCATACTTTTACAAATCTGTATTATATAAATAACTAGATGAATGATTCTTTAATCAACTATGGTCTAAGCAGAGACATAAATTCTGCAGATAAAGAAACTAAGTACGAATAAAATAAAAAAAATAACCTTGTCATTACTCACAAGCACATAAAAACACATAAAAATATGCATGATATGAATAGTTATATTAATAAACTGCTTAACACACTGGGAGGATAAAAATGAAAATTGTTAATGTTGGGTTAGGTTAGTACATATTACTAATTATTTTCGTCTCATCTTAGTACTCGTTTATTTCACAATTTAATAAATCATCACTTTCAATCGTAAATTTAAATAACTGTATAGGAAGATGTACATCATAGAGAGGCCGGAGCATTTTCTATTTTAATAAACACATCTAAAAGAAAGCTGTTTATTTGCCAGTAAGATAAACAAAAATATTTGTTAAGACTTTCTCATCTATAGGTACTAATATTATAGAGAGGTAAAATTTATAAGTTTGTATGTAGGGGTAATCTTTGGAACTGCTAGTCGGATTGCCAAAATTATTTCACTGATACATAGCTACAATGTTCCTGAGTGCTATAGGCTATAAAATATCACGCTATAATCAACAGGAGCTGAGCAGCGGGTGAAACCGCCCCAGAGTGGCTAGTTTATTATATAATCTTCTTACGCTCTCATTACAGGAGTTTCCCAATTCCTCAGTTAGGCTTACAATATCATATTAGTAACATTATAGAAATAACTTAATGAAAGAAACAATAAACTTTAAAACAAATATTCAAAACTAACTAACGTACTGTACCTACTATGTATATTATGTGTCACATTAACAAACTAAGATTTAAAAAAAAGTTAAAATACAAAAGAAACTTTAATTAAATAATAATACTTTTTAGCGCTGTAACATAATGATTAAAGAAATATTTTTTTTTATTATAGAACCTTTTTTATTTTATAATTGCCAAAACTAAGAACGAATATTAAGATTAAATCGCGTTGATGAAGCGTTTACGGTCACCGAACGTGTTAAGTTCAAAACTGAAGTTCCAAACCTGCAAAGACTATAAACTACTTGTCTTAAAAACACATTTATATCGAGATTAGGTACTTCAGGCTTTCTTAATTTACGTAAAGAGCCTTTACGCCGCATATTACTTATACAAAACTGCCAGCTAAAAATCATTGAAACTAAACATTCAAAAAACTTAGTGCTGAGTGAAATATACTTCACGAGATCCAAGACAGTCATTCATGTCCCTGGGACGCGTCGGACTCAGTGGTCCGGTGTTTTCATGGTTGTATCTACTGATCACCTAGCTTCACTGACGAACAGACTGACAAACTACTTCTCTATTTTGACGTTTCAAAAGTACCTATTTATGGTTTAGTTGGAATAAATGATTTTGACTTTGACTTTGATCCTGAATATGGAACATTGCCGCGGACTTGTCCCAATTAAAAAAAAAGGTGGTAAGGTTTCTATGTTTGTATTTTAAATATAAGGTAACTACTTATGTCAATTCTTACAAGTATATCTCTACATCCTGCAGATTGAATTATCTTTCATTGGGTATAGTATTAAAAGGCCATTTATCTAAGGGGCCCGTGATGATTGCCGTTCTATGAGCTTGATTTAGGTTCGAGTCAATTTATTATGTAACGGTAAAATCAAGGAATTGTAACTATACTATGTGATTACGTATGTTAGTATTCTCACGCTCGTTTCTTCCGGGGTGAGCTGGGAGCGAGCGTGCGCGGTATCGACGGCCGACTTAGCTCACGTTAGACTTAGATTATATCATACTGATAATACAGGTAGTTCATACGAAGTGACTAATTTTTTTCAAAACGTTTGAATGTTCAATGGTCTTGGTCTGTCTTCCACTACTTAGACTCAGACTAGTTAGAGGACGCTAAAACAATGTATGTAAATTAATCTCTGTAAAAAACAAGTTTGGTCTACCTGCCCATAAGGGTTGTATTTCAGTGTACATGTAGATTTTAATATTAAAAATGGAACGTTGAAGTTCTATTGCTAAGCCAAACGAACGTTGAAATACTAACAACACAAAACAAAAAAATATGTGTCCATTTTGCATTTGTCATCAACGCCCCTTTCTACCCTAAGTACTTTACAATACCATAATTAAGAGAACGTTCTCGTACGATTTCAGTATAAATTTGAAATGGCATGCAATACCCGACATCCGAACTCATCTCAACTCGGCTAATCTCAACACTGTGACGGCTGTACTCGACAAACAGAACAGCTATTAGCTATAAAGCTTGAACCTTAATAGTTCATTCA